GGCACACACCCAAGTCCCATATTTTTCTACAGACCCTCCGGGATCGTCGAATCACAGGTTCGGGTCCGTTTCCCCAAAATGTTGATCGAAGTCAATATTATGCATATTAATATCAAAATTCATCAAAATTTTCACAAAATTCACATATTCTAACATAAAAACTTTCCGGCTACGCGCCCGAACTGTGCACGCAAATCGAGGCAACTAAAAGCGAGATTTTCAAGGCCTCGGAAGCACGGAACAAGGAAGAATTACGGTGATGACCCTTTGGGTTGTCACAATAAGTGTGTGTTTGTGTGTGTATATTCATGATCCAAAATTTGTGGGAATTGAATGCACAAAGCTCTGAAAGTTGTACACATTTCTTGAACTTCAACAAATTTGTTGAAAAAAATAACCACTTAATGCCACTTCCAAGAACTTACTACTCCAGTTCAGTTCTAGACTATCATGTGGCTACTTCCGCAAAATATGCAGCTCAAAATGCTTCAAAGACACTCATAGTCACATTACCAAATAAGGATTAAATAATTAAGTGCATCGAGACAACTGGATTATAAAACACAGAAAATGCACTAGTCAAACTCGGATCTGTATTTTCAACATGGAAATGAGCCAGTTGCCCTTTTTTCCCTCTAACTTCTCATATAAGAAACTATAAACAACAATTCTTGGAATTTGGTGATGAAATAAGTATATATTTTATGAAAAAGGACTTCATTCAGCTTCACATTTTGTTGGTCTCCTACACCCTGCTACACTAATTTATCATTGACAGTATCATAAAGACCTAATTTTAAGTTCTTAGGTGAACATATCTGATGCAAAAGGACCAAAATATCCATGCATGCAGTAAGAGGTTGATCTAAGGTAGGTTCTATCGATTCAATGAAACTCATTGCTCTTGGTTCGAACTATATATACAACAACATACACAATGTATTCTCACAAGTGGGGTCTGGGGAGGCTAGTATGTACGCATACCTTACCCCTACCTTGTGAAGGTACAGAGGCTGTTTTTGGAAGACCCTCGGCTCAATAAAGCAAAAACACAGCAGTACTAGAACTATATATACATACGCAAAAAATAAAAGTGGGTAAAACAATATATTTATGTATACATCTCAAGTAAGACACATATACATAAATAACATCACATTGATTTGAATCCACGGACTCTAGATCTTAGATTCGCCGCTGCATGCAAATAATTAAACTTCATCACCTAATAAGGGCAGTAGAGGTATATCTAAGGATGAAAAATACTAGCTAAAGCTTAAGAAAAGAACACTTGCCCTGCTGAGTATCTATAACCATATAGATACCAGTACCATAATTTTGCATCATCTTCAACTCTAAGGGATCAAAGCTTTATTGTCCAAAGAAAAAACTTATGGACTCCCCTCATAAGCCAAGGTCTTTTTCACCTAACCTATTCTTTTTCTTCCTTCTTGTATCCTCAAATCTCCTGACTTTTTTCATTTCTAACATATTTAAGAACTCTTCTTGTTCTCTATACCAGCAAACATATAAAGCCATTGCCACTGCTTCATTAAACAATGCTATCCCTTTTGTTGTTAAGTCAGAAACTAGAGATGTTGTTCATGTATCTGATAAACCAGCAGCTGATTTAGACTTACCATCTGAGTTCCTTGCTTTCACATCTCCACATCAACTGCCATTTGGAGTCAACCCGAGCTTTAATTCTGACAAACTCATCCCTCCCGTTGGCCGTCCATGTACTATGTTTCCAGATTTACTTCGGCGTTACATGTCATACAAAATCAATGGATCTTGTCCTGATGATGAGCTCCTGGCACAGAAGCTGCTTCTCAAAGGTAGTGTTAGAAATTAGGAAATAATTAGAAAAACTTGTTAAAGGACTATTTCGGTGAAATAACGGTTTTAACTCACAAATCTTCAACTTTTATTTCCATTTGAAATTCATATCCAGACACAACATAACTTTCCAAGTTCTCTTTTTCAACTTCAACTTCAATTACTTTTCTTTTTTCAACGTCAACCAAATATTGGCTGAACGCTTACCTGCAAATATAGTAAAGGTTTAGAATCACTATAATTCTGTAAATAAGAACAGAAGTTACTCAAAAGGGGAACCTTGGCGTAACTGGTAAAGTTGCTGCCATGTGACCAGGAGGTCATGGGTTCGAGCTGTGGAAACAGCCTTTCGCAAACATGCAGGGTAAGGTTGCGTACAATAGACCCTTGTGGTCCAGTCCTTTCCTGGACCCCACGCATAGCGGGAGCTTAATGCACCGGGCTGCAATTTTAAGAACAGGAGTTACTCAATTCATTCCTCAAAATCTCTTCTTTCTATTTTCTTTACAGGTTGTGAGCCTCTCCCTCGCCGTAGATGCCGTCCTGCAGCTCAACAGGAATATGTTGAGCCTTATCCTCTTCCTGAGAGCTTGTGGATTACTCCATCAGATTCATCTGTAGTTTGGACAGCATATACATGCAAAAGCTATGAATGTCTAATCAACAGGAAAAAAAATCAAAAAGCATTTGATGATTGCAAAGACTGCTTTGATCTCAATGGCAGAGAGAAAAATCGTTGGTTGTCCAAAAAGGGAGCTGGCCTTGACTTCTCTATTGATGAAGTACTAGCAGTGAAGAAGCCGGGTACAATCAGAATAGGGCTTGACATTGGTGGAGGCGTAGCTACATTTGCTGTAAGAATGAGAGAAAGGAACATAACAATATTAACAACTTCAATGAATCTCAATGGTCCTTTCAATACATTTATAGCATCAAGAGGAGTCGTACCTTTGTACATAAGCATTTCGCAACGACTTCCTTTCTTTGACAATACACTGGATATAGTTCACTCAATGCATGTGCTGAGTAATTGGATACCCACAACTCTGCTCCACTTCTTATTATTCGACATCTATAGGGTGCTTCGGCCTGGTGGGCTGTTCTGGCTTGACCATTTTTTCTGTGTTGGTGAGCAATTTGAGCAAGTCTATGCTCCTCTTATTGACAGCATTGGGTTTAATAAGGTCAAGTGGGTCGTTGGGCGAAAGATGGACAGAGGCCCCGAGCTGAATGAGATGTATCTTTCAGCACTGTTGGAGAAGCCACTGAAGAACTCTTGGTGATAGTATTAGATGTTTCTTTTACTTTCTTACTTTTGATAGTTATAGAAGAGAAGATAGAAGGAGGTGTTTATTTTTTTTAAAATTATAGATTCATTTCAGATGACATCTTCTGGCATAAACTAGCAGTTTGAGGTAGCTTGAGTATGATTTTGTAATGTTGGTGGGCTAAACCTTATTTAGCTTTTGAATTTGCTGAAAACCAGATTCCATTATTCAGAACAAAAGGTTTTACTGTTAAAGTATCGAAATCCATTTGTGAAGCACCAGATTGAAAATGTTTGAAATTAAGATAAATATGTCATTACAATCGACAAAACCATTTCCAAGCAATAGTTAAAAAAAGGTCCATATGCACAGCATCACCAATAACATTTAACAGAGAAATAATGTTCTGCACGAGTTAAGTTATCCTTAATAGATCTTCTGTTACAATAACTTGAATGTGTTTGAATATAGTAATTTCTAAGTCTTTTGTGATTCTTCCGAAAGGCACCTTAATATCAATTATTGTTTTCTTTGTATTTTCCATGCTGAAACTATGAGAGTTTATGGATATATGCTTCATGAAAAGCATCTGATAATTCAGAGGACAGCCTTCTGAAGTTCACATGAACTGGAGCTTACAAGTAGACCTTTAATGTTTTCTGCAAGTTATGGTGGTTGACGTAGAAGATTGCCTTAATTAAGTCATGTAAGGAAAAATTCAAATTGGCTTGTATTATTAGCAAGTTATATATCTTGCTGGTGGATACTTGTGAAAGTCAATCTGGAATATAGATGAGCTGCTTAAAATTATTTTGTGTTTTGCCATATTATTAGCAAGTTATACAACTTGCTGGTGGAAATGTGACACTGCCATCCAAATTTCAGATCAAGCGTCACTAAGCAAGTCTTGAAATGAAGGTTGGCTAATCAAATAACAAAATCTTTTCTTCTAGTTCTCCCCAGCATAGACAGTGAAATGACCCTTTGGAACATCTCCAGATGTTGAAGACATTGGAGGAGTCGGTTTGCATGAAGTATACAAGGTGCTCAGATAGCAATAATCTTATAAATTTATGTTTTATCTATGTAGTATTTTGCCAAAGGAAGGATAACGTCAAGGACTTAGAATTTAGAAAATGAAAGCTGGGAATTCGCTTGACCTTTACAAAGAGCTGAATTATCAGAAAACTCCCGTGGCAGAAGCAGGATTTTCATCAAGGGGATTCAAAATAATTTAAAAGTACACGTGAAAAAGCGAAGGGGATTCAATATCTAATGTATATAAATACATAAAAATTTAACCTTATATACACAGTGTAATTTTAAGGCGATCCACCCTCTAACTCTGCCCCTATGTGTGTGTGTGTATGTGTGTGTATAGAGAGAGAGAGAGAGTAACGATAAGCCCAGACTGTTGATGAATAGTCTTGAAAGACTAAAATGCCATTTAATGGGCACAACTGAAAGACAATAGCATATGGTTTTGCCTATTAATCATCTAACCATCACTTTCATAGTGTGGCCACATATTTCAACCCATGTGTTTAAAACATTTTTGTTTTGATCAAGTCAAGATCATGTTGATTCAACCTATAAATGTTAACAGGGTGAATATAAGATCATTTTAGAAGACAGTCATGTTGAATCAATGTTAATCTCAATAGAGTGAATATAAGATCTCTTTGAGAGCTTATTTGTGATAATTTTCTTACTGTCCACTCGGTTCATTCTAAATGAATTTGAGTAAATAGAAAAATGTCAGCCAGAAGATGGAGTCTAATTAAGCTCATGTTTTGGACAAATAGAGCGACACGTTGCAGTAATGGCAGAATCCTGCCCCAAAGACTGGTTTCTGCCGAAAATGTAGATTTAACTTACAACAACAGAAATTGCTAATGCAAGGTACAAGTACCAAAACACTACAAATAACAAGAAGCATAAACTGATACAGTGGGTTTACATCTCATTTGCAAAATCATCACTCAAAGCAGTGAGTAACTACAAGAGATTTTTTCGTTTCATCTTCAACTTGGTTGACAATATATATACAAACCCCAAAGCTACACAGGGTGTAACTATATATAGACGAGGTATTCTCAAGTTGTTTCACTGATCAAGTACAACTTCTGACCATCAGAAATCAAACCTATATCAAGAATTTTACCTGCATCTTCTGATAAAATACAAGAGCCAGATGGAAAGTTGAGTTGTTCCGATGCTGTAGTAATGAGCTCTTCCATACTCTTAGGTATCCACAGTACAACACCATGTTTCCTGAGATCCTTGGGCTCCCATGGGTGGAAAGGAAACACAGTACACTTCTGTGGGTGCATTTTTTCTGTTATACACAGATTATATGGTTAGCGGGCTTAAAAAAGTTTAGCTAATAGAAAAATGTAGCTAATAAAAGAAGTTGTAGCCCCGTTATTCAGCTTTTGGGAGAAGAGTAATAATTGATGACCACAGGTAACAATGAATATTCAGTTAACCCTTGTCTTGTTCCTCTTCAAGTCACTTTTTCATGCTTTTTGGTCTTTGTTTTAGGTGAGTAATAAAGGGGGAGCAAGTGGAGCAACGGAGTCTCCCAGATCAAATAAGCAGCGGTACCACATAAAGGGTATTATTATAAACTCCTAAATATAATATTTTCCACTGTACTTGGTGAAAGTGTTGCTTCTGTAATACCTGAGATCTCGTGTGGAGCAATAGGGAATTCCGATATCTGAGCTGATTTTGCTTCTTCCAGAAGCTTGGTCAATTGATTGTTTCCACTTAGTCTAGCTTCATCAAATGGAGTATTTCCCCATCTGCAACATAACAAGTTCCCTTAGTTTTAAGTGGCTAACTGGTACATGTATGCACAATTCAGCTAGTACCATGTACTAAAGTTCTGAAAGAGCAACCACGATGATTCACCTCGATAACTCGATTAGCCTTAAAACTTGACGGAAAAAAACTACACCAAGCTCAGGAGAAGAATTGACTAAGAATCTAATAAGCTCAATTCAGAAGTAAAACTACCCCATGTCTCCACTGATCATGTACAATTCAAGGCATTTTGAGATTGAACCATGATGGACTTAACAACAAGTTCTCCTAGGTCCTCAAAGAGATATTTTTATAACAGGTTTAATCTCAAGAAAATTGTGTTGGGATCTTTCCTCATGTTTGAGAATTCATTCACATTCTTGATTCGTCTCTATCTCGTTATGTCGATGACAGGAAAAATACGAAAAGCAAATAGTGTAACTTACGAATTCACCGATTAGTGATTAGAAAATCTATCAGTTTTCAAAAGCCTGGAATTGAAGCAGTTAATTTTAAAAGCATGAATCTCAAATTGATTTGGCATTACTATGCTATAAATCAAAAAATAGCAAGAGTAAAATTTCTCATCATATGTAAAAAGGCGATTTGGAAAAAAGAAGAAGAAAAATTGATAGGTTAAAGGATGCAAGATTCAAGAACATAATTATGCCTCACTCCCAACTCCCAAGTTAGTTGGGGTTGGCTATATGAATTCGCACTATCCATTTCACTACATTTGGACCCGGATGCAAGATTCAACAATCAACAGGAAAAAATTACTCTCTTGAAGAATTTTCAAATACTGATAGCAACAATATAAAGTAACGTTCATGTTTCCCAACAAGTTAAGCACGTAAGTCTACCTTATGTTTATGACAAAAGGTAGCTTGCTCTAAACTAAAGATTCCATACTGATCTTAAGAAGTGACTTCAATAATGTAGCAATAAAGATTTAACTGGTACCTGTCTTTCGAGAAAACAGAAGCACCAGCTCCCAGAAGCAATCTCGCCATCGCGAATAATCCTTGAGAAGCCGCTACATGGAGTGGTGTTCGGTGATCATAGTCTTTGGAGTTTGGATCAATACCATTGGACAACAGCCTTCGTAGTAGATCCGAATCCCCCTTTGCAACCAACATACACAAAAAACTACCAGCATTTTCGATCTTCAAGAAAGCACCTTCCTTAACAAGTAATGAAGCAACACGATCGTGTCCATTCTTGATAGCTTCAAACAGCGGTGTGGTATCAAAGTTGTCTATTTGGAGAAGAGCATGAGTTACAATTATATTTGAGAAGAAGGAAGTTCACAGGTGAAATACAGTTTGTAAAACTTACCTGAAGCATTGAGATCGACACCTTCTTGGATAAGGAAAAGAGAGATGTCTTCATATCCTCTGGACGCTGCAAGATGCTGTTCGTAACAAAACCTTGATTAGGAATATTTTTTCACTCTATCTTCAGCCTTATTTTAGACTCATTTGGTTTGCTTATTTTTCTTAAAGACAGAATCAGTATTTTGATAACAAGCACCTGAAACTTAATAACCCATATTCCTTAAAGGAGAATCCTTCCAAACCGTGCTCTATGATTTACAAATTTGCACACCCAAGAAAGAAATTCATGAGCTTGGAAACAAAACTGATTATGAACAAAAAGAAAATCCCACTCATGAACTGACAATAGCAACTCATGACAAACTTTTTGTAAAATAAACAACTCGTCAGAAAATTGAGAAGAAGTAATGGAACAGAAATAATATATGTTTCCTTTGGCGAGACCCATACCAAAGGAGATCTTCCATCATAATCTTTCTTGTTGGGATCAGCTCCAGCTCGGATCAGACCCTTCAGCTGGTGCAAATCACCATGATAAGCTGCACTATTCACTTTCAAAGCAAGCTCAGCCTCTTGTTTCCCAATATGGAATGTTATATCTGACTCCACTTGCTTCACACGAAGATCAGAATCTTTTCCCTGTCAGTTAAGACTGCTTTTAGGCCTTTTGAGTCCATAAGCATTTCTAATGCAAAAGCAGTTAATGCCCAAAAGGAGAAATACAATTAGTAAGGGTCGAGAACGGCATGCCACCCAAGACAGATTACCTCTAATAAGTTAGTCAAAATTCTTCTCCCGTCATGAAAATAGATCTCCAAAATATTTGAAAATGATTGCTTATCAATCCGTATGAGTCTGCATAGTTCACACACACGGACAGTATATGGTTGTGGAATGTTGCAAAGAATGGATATTTCCCCAAACGAGCTATTTGGCTCAAGAAGTGCTACTCTCTCTTCTGACCCATCATTCCCTATACCAATTTCCTCCTGGACCAAGATAACCACAATAAGTCTCAAACTATTAGCTGCAACTCGACGCCAAACATGAATAGATAAGTCAGCAGCTGTAAGATTTGCAAAAATTTTGGAGCAATGGAAAGCTAGAAACCAGTGACTTGCTATTTTCTCTCCTTTTCTAGAGTTTTTGATCACATCATCGCAGTCTAACAATTTCCTAGCTGCAGTTCTGGAACCAAGTCCATAATAGATACAGAACTAGTGATATTAATATGGTTTGGAAACCCAAGCTAACGTATGGTAGAATATATATTTTCTAAGGCGATAAAAGAATATAGGCTTATTATTATAACGTAAAATGTCGCACAATAGAAAATAATAAGCAGCAATAATAATAGTAGAGTAATGTACCAGAACACCATGACAGACAAAATAAAGTTGGTCTACCACATGCCCCTGTTCCATGATCACTTCTCCTGGAAGGAAAAATTCTTCACACACTCTAGTTACCTGAAAATTTATCACAAAAATCAGTAATTCCCACTCAGCTCTAGATTTATCTTAATTAACTGGGCCCAGTAATAATCAAACAGAAAGGCATGAGGCAAGCATTCAAAGATATACATGAAGAGTAGAGAGAAGAAGCATGCATGTCAAATTGTTTCAAATTTAGCGGAGTGTTACAATGCAGGTCGAATAGGCAGAAAATCGTATCTACATGCAGAAAACACACATAAACTTACCAAGGACCATTTCTACAAATGTCTTATCAACCTAGGATCCCAACCTTGCTGCCCTAGGGGATTCTTAAAACAGGTAAAACGCATTAAGCACATTGAAGAAGTACGAACTGCAATACAATTTAATTAAGCAGGCAAACTTGAAATAAAGATGTCTTATGTAAGCCGCTTATGTAATTCAGAACATGAGCAAAGACCGGATGTTAGATTAATAGCTGGCTCATTGTGGAACATATGGTGTGGGTCTTCTATTCTTTTCTGCTTCACTAGGATCAGCATAGCAAGTGATGAGGATCTTTATAAGCCATCATTTTCTAGAGGTGTGGCAAAATATCTCATATAGTCATGAATCTCAATTAGAGTGAAAATAGAACAGACCTCTTCAGAAAAGAGAGGATAGAAACACTGTTTTGAGATTAAATAAACAATCATTGACAAAGTAACTTACAATTTGACTTATGAATTCTGAGGAGCAGTCCCTGAAAAGAGGAATATTTTCAATGCAAGACTGATATAACGTCTGGGATATCTGCGAAAATGTTCAAGTTTTAGTCACAGTATTACTGAAGGAATGTTATATGCATCAGCAATGAGAAGGAAAGGTCAAAATAAAATACAAGAAAGAATGTGAACTCTAGAAGCGCTAACAAAGATGGTTAACGTGCTTTTTGACAACAAAAGAAATTTCCAAGTGAATAACCCACCCACCCACTCAAAAACAAATTCGTGTATATTGATCTTGCTTCTTTTAAAGTCAGGGAGTGATTTTTTCTGCCCTGTGGGTTTGGAAAAACTAAAGCTTTCTGCTCAAACCACAACAACAACAACAACAACAACAACAACAACAACAACAACAACAACAACAACAACAACGGCACAGTATAATCCCACAAGTGGGATCTGGGGAGGGTAATATGTACGCACACCTTATCCCTACCTCGAGGGGCAGAGAGGCTGTTTCCAGGAGACCCTCGGCTCAAGAAAGCAACAAGAGACGATATATTAGTACTATCAATAGACTCATAATAAAATAACATAACATAACATAAAATAACAAAATAACAGCAATATAAGAAATATAGGAAATACGAAAAAGATGGAAGGTATGATAATATCCAACAGATAAAGCCTTGCATCAGTAGCTGACCAATAGCATCCTAAGACTAACTCCTAACTGGCTAGTCTCACTCTGCTCAAACCCTATTAACAAATCCCAAAACAGCATAACCAGATAATTGTTTTACTAATGAATGATCTCTGGCAACAAGAATTACGGAACTGAAAACCGTCCTACAGTAGTGAATTCCTTCTCACATAAGTAGTGACCTGCACTAATGGTGTAACAAATGCCCTACCACATGTGTATAAATTTATTTGTGTGTGTCAGGGAGAGAAAAAGCAACATTAGACGAAATCATTATATTTCAGAACCCACGACATCTAAGTTATAGACCCGTCACTTTCTTTTACATACTACCTATTATTCTCTGTGTAACAACGGAAAACTAACTGGTAATTAACTCGTATGGTTTTATAGCACCGTAAACTGAGGAAAACAGAAAAGAAACCAAGCAATTCAAAGAATTCAAATAGCCGATTCTAATGTTTCAGAGTACAGGAAATTTAGTGAACATAGAGCCATGCAAACAATGAGTTACATGGAGATTTTTCCTTTTGTTTATTTACCTTAGCTCGGATTGAGATGGGAAGGTCCTGAAGAACAGCTGCATCAGTGTAAGCGCTTTCATATTGTAATCGCAAGTGATCTTTAATTTGAGTACGAATATCTCTTCCGAGTCTATTTCTGTTCATATAGTTCATAAGATCTGTCATTTTATCCCTGTATCGGACGGTTTTTGATCCCTTGACAATCAGTGCTGTCATATTACCGATCAAATAAGCACCAAGAATCATGTCAAAAGAGACATAAATCATAACAAATATCATTTCCCTCAGATTGACTGCATGTATGTCACCGTAGCCTGTAGGACCGAAAGACACCTTCTACTATTAGTAGGATGTGATTGCATATCCAGAAAAGGTATAAAAAGAGTGCCATGAGTTAGGAAGAGAATGTTCAAATTAATACTAAGCATTACGAAAGAAAAGAAATCTTCCTTCAAAATGTATGATTTTTTTCCAAAACAAACGACTTCTTTTTATATAGTCTTCAAATAATTTCTTCTGGTTATATTATTCCTATTACCCAAAACACCAAAATAAATCACTATGTTAATACCAAAACCTTTTACAATGATACCAATTTATGAATATCTATATTTATCCATCTTCAACAGTATCTATTGTATTAACTCCAAAACTTTTTAAAGTAATACCAATTTATGAATATCTATATTTATCCATCTTCAACAGTATCTATTGTATTAACTCCAAAACTTTTTAAAGTAATACCAATTTATGAATATCTATATTTATCCATCTTCAACAGTATCTATTCTATCTTCCTATTTTTTTGTTACCTATTTTCTCTATTATCTTTTTCTTTGGTTCTGGGGAGGGGATGTGGAAAAGATGTCATGCATGATATTAGTGATAACTTGATGTGCACGTAAAATCATTCAATTTTTATGACTACTCAGCTTAACGCTGCCAAATTGATTATTTGTAAATAAAGATAACAGGACATCTCGGAAACAGAAAGGAAACAGGCATATTTTGAGATCCACCGGGTGTCACGCTTTCAGTTTCGTTGATAAGCTCAAAACATGCATAAATAGTGGATCAATTGGAAAAGAATGATTATTTAGGCAAATCTAAATGTATAAAGGTTAGAGCTCGCTTTAGGGGATTAGAATAGATTGAAAAGCCATAACAAGCACTACCACTGTCAACTAAACCATATTACTTTGTACTATTTTAGACCTGCACTTGAAGATACTTCTATGATTCAGACATCCGATTCAGGTACTTATATTCTAAACTTAATCTAATCCATAGAAGATAAAATGAACACAAATTGGAGGGCAAAGGTTTCAGTTCTAGTCTTGGATGGAAACTGCCACATGTTGAACTTCAACTTCGGGGTTTGAGACCTTTATAATTGTCAAATGAAATCTAGAGACAACTTATATCATATGACACAAAATAAGAAGTTTCTTTGCATGAAAAATGTCTGCACCCTCCGTTTTAGAACTGGGACAGTGAAACTTGAAAGGAAGCAATAGACATACCCACAGTTGCCATAGTGACAATGGCAAAATACAGAGAAGTGATGTATCGCCTCCAGAGATCAATCTCTCTAAAGTGTGAATAACTGTAGTCTCCCAGGGTCAAACTCCCAATCCATGTGTAACCTTCTTTCTCTTCAGGCAGAGTAGTAGCCAAAAAGTAAAAGATGCAAGCTGCTGTATGCGTGCAATAGAGTTCAACAACGATAAGTTTTAATATCCTAGTGAAGAGATAATTGATCCGAATATCTTTCTCCATCTTCTGAAAAAAGTCATTGACTCGGCGCACCCTGCTTAACCTAATCCATAAAAGGTATCTCAATCCCTCTTTTTTGCCAGCAGCCTGATTATTTCAAATGGAACAGCGTTAGTTTAAAAAGCACTACTTGAACCAAGTATCTAACATGAAATGCAGGTATCAGTTCATTTAAAATTTTGGTCTTGGCCAAGAGTATAACTAATAGGAAATAAAGTAGAAAAAAAGAGCTTCCACTCCATTGTCTTGCTGACAAGAAAGCAAGTTTCTCTTTACTAGGTTGCATGGAAGTTAATGGAGAGAGGAGCATATTAAGACAAGTGAGCTTATCAATTTATTTAAGTAGAGTTATGCCTCTGAGCCTCTCAAGAATGGATGCTTACATTTACAAGCTATGGAGAGATGAGCATATTTAAATGAATGTCACCAAACAGCAGTTTAGTCCTCCCTATTGTTCATCATCGTCATATTCTCTAATAACTGCCAAATACTGGTTTGCTTTGCATTTTCTAGAACATCTGGTGGATGTCCAAGATTAAGTAAAAGATTGACTGATTAAATGGTGCTAGGGAATTAAAAAGTGCACCTTATAAATGTTATCCCACGGCATGCAACTGAGAAAATCCAAGATAAAATGAGTTTTCAAGTACCTGCAACGAGAGAAGATCAGCTAAACTACTTAAAAGGCATACCTTCTGTTGCATCCCTCCTCGGTGGTGGATTCAGAATTTAGACGCAGAGAGTTTTGAAACTATAGGATCGATTCTGAAATGTTTATATAACTTTATCTATACTTGTTTTTAACACGTATATACTAGATTCGACCATGAAACACTAGGTTCTGTCCAACCTGCGAAACGATGGTAGAATTCGTCACTATCTTTGTGCAAAATAGTAAAGCATGAGGGGAAAGGGGACTGACCGAAGAGCAATAGGGGTTCGTTTATGCACCATCTTGTATGTCTGACTATCTCTGTAAGCTACAAAGAATTGCACGACTATGTCGACAAGAAAAGCTATTTGGCCACAAATGTCTAAGAGAAAAAGCTTCCTGGGCAATCCCTTGAAGAATGCAAACTCCATTGGAGTAAAAAAAGATGAATAAATCGCCCAAATCAGGATAAACTTCTCCCATATCTTGTACCACCTGCATCAAGTTTTTCTAGATTATCAGTTTGAAATGTCAAAGAAATTTTCCCCGAGGCTTAAAGGAGGTAAGAGATATGAAACCACTTTTGGCGCTAAAATAATACTCCCTCTATTTGGGTTTATGCGAAACTATTTTTTTTTGTCCGTTCCAAAAAGAATGACCCGTTTCTTAATTTGGTAACAATTTAGCTTAAATTTACAATTCTACCCTTAATGATAAACTTTTATAACCACACAAATAATGTAGGCCCCTGTTTGACTTGCTTAGGATCACAAATTTCAAAAGTCTTTATTTTTTCTTAAACTTCGTATCCAATCAAACAGATTTATATAAATTGGAATGGAAGGAGTACTAGAATAGAGAAAGCAACTGATGAAAATAAAAACTTTTATAATTTTCTTTCCATTATTGAATGATGTACTATTACAAAGAGTAAAATGAGAGTTATTTGTAAAAATTATCAAATGTTGGGTTTAACCTTGTGAAATCTTAAAATAGAGTACAACAACAACAACAACAACAACCCAGTATAATCCCACTTAGTGGGGTCTGGGGAGGGTAGTGTGTACGCAGACCTTACCCCTACTCTGGGGTAGAGAGACTGTTTTCAAATAGACCCTCGGCATCCTTACCTCCAAGAACTTCCCACCTTGCTCTTGGGTAGACTCGAAATCTTAAAATAGAGTGAATGGAAAATAAAGAGAAAATGAAAATTTTGAATTTCCCTCTTTAAAAAGGGACATTGTCCCATATTGGAGGAGAAAAATAGTTTTGATGAGTATATATACAATTGCACTTCTTCTAACTCTTAAAGAGTTGAGAAGAAGGCAAGCCTCGTGTCGTCGTTGTTAGGGGTGTTCATAAAAATCCGAAAAACCGAACCAAACAGACCAGAAAAATCGATACTTTTTGGTTTGGTTTGGTTTTGGTTTTGAAATTTAAAAACCGATCAAATTTGGTTTGGTTTGGTTTTAATAAAAAAAAAATCGAACCAAACCGAATATAGGAGTAGCTATTTTAAATTTAGAATTACACCTATATATATGTATACTTTTATACAAAGTTTCAAAAATTTTATAGTAAATGTTAATCGTTTGCACTTTTAGTACAGTTTTTTACCTTTACATTCTAGTTTGATTGATAGTTTTCTTTTGTTAAGTGTAAGAATCTATTTCATGTTAAAAATAATATATTTTTAATTGAGTCCTTAAATTATTCGTCACTATTTAATTCAATTATCATCAATATATCTTGGTAAATAATAGATTTCTCAAAGGGCAATTGATTTGATAGTGTTACGTTAAAAATGTGGTCGCCGAAATATGTGTTTGGTAGTGTATGTCTTATATTTAAGAAAAAAATTGAAAAATAACAGAAAAAAACAAAAATCCGACATAAATCGAATCGAGAAAAAACTGACTTAATTGGTTTGGTTTGGTTCTAATATTTGAAAAACCGACTTACTTGATTTGGATTCTTTTTAGGGAAAAACCGATCCAAACCGAACCATGAACACCCCTAGTCGTCGTCATCGCTTGGCTCAGCTTCGGTCAAATGACCTGATTGATTGATTTTTCTTACGAAAATTTTGATTTCTCCTTCTTCCTTCAGCATTGTTTTTTTAACATAAAGAAAGCAGTAATTGTGATTTGCTATTGATCTTTGAGTTCATTGGTCACTGCCTCACTGGGGTTTGAAGTATCGTTATACCAGCGAGGGCAATCCATTCTATTCTGGGAGAAAATAATCCTAAATCTCGGGTACTATGAGGGGATTAAGTTCCTTAAGAAAATACTGTGAATTCAGTGGGCTCAGATTAATTTTCTGTTCTTCTACATTTCTGCTTTTATGTTGCTACTGGTTTTTGAATATATTTTTCGAATACAGATTAATAACAGTTAACACATTTCACTTTATGAGTTAATACATTTCTATCTAAAAGATAATAATATGTAATCATTCGTAAAAAATAAAATTAGTGTCTGAAATATAAAACTTGTTGTCCACTACAACATGTTAATCTGTACTAATAGGCAAATTTTATTTACAGTGTGAGTGTATACAGAGGCAGCCCTAAGATTTGAAAGCAGCGGTAGCACTATCGAATAAAATGTTGTAGCAAGAACCAAACTCCGGCAAGCGCACTAAAGTCAAGTTATACTTCCCAACAACCAATGCAATTGTTTAAACTTTGAGTCTCGAATCAAAATATATATACATATTATTTAAGATATATATACATATATACATATAATACTTTTTTTAAATTACCGGGCCGATAAACCCCTACCCTAAGGATAGGTGTAAAATAAGTTAAATTCAGCTTTTATTACTATGATGTTTCTTTGTAAATTTAATTTTTGTAACGCCACTAATAATTAAACTTAACGCCATTGATTGCGCACAATGCTTTCATGTCAGACTTTACAGTCCCAACTCTAAGCAGCAATGCAATCCACAATATTCCACCCTGTCAACCCACTAGCAGCTCTTCTTTTCTTCTAGTCCATAAATCTCGTGATCTTCTGCTTCTTTTTTCTGATTTCTCTTATTTATCTTGTTGCTACTTTTCTCCTTTTTTTCTCCCTCCTCCCCTCAAATCTTACTTAGAGCCTGTTTGGACACAATTAATATTTTTTTACTTTTTTCAAAAAAAAAAATTTACTTTTTTCGAAAAAAATTACTTTTTTCGAAATTAATGTTTAGCCATAAAATTTTCAATTTTCAGTTGAAGATGAATTTTGAAATTTTTCGAAAAAATGAAAAACTCCAAAAAACTGTTTTCAAAATATTTTCACTCAGATCACTCACAAAAATTTAAAAACAACCCAAAATTATATTCATGTCCAAACACAACTCTAATTTTCAAATACCATTTCACTTGAAAAAAAATTCACTTTTTTTTTATAGAATTTTACAATTCTTATGTCCAAACGCCCACTTAAACTCCGGATCTGCTAGTCGAAATAAAAGCAATTCTTTATAGAATTATACAACCTAAAATTATCACCGTACATATTTTTCAACTATTTATGAAATACTATAAACAGTTAAATATGAATGGATGAAATAACACAAACAACAATACGCTCATATCACCAAAAGGGACAATTTATTCTATTAGCATTCTATAATTGGTTTTAGCAACTAACTTGCCATTTTTTCCCTTCAAATTACCAATCAAGACGTACTATAGAAGTTATTATGAAATGGACCTCTTGAACTTGACTAGCGCAAAAAATCTTTGCATGGTTATGTATGAAAATCAATCTGTATTAACAATTTGTTGAATAATCATCATACTTGTACAATCCCACCTAACTCCAGCATTTTCACATGTAGCAATGTATACATAAGAGTGCAGGTGGAGCCTCTCAACGATTATTTTTTTGTCTTCAAGTTTCGTAAGTCTAGATCCAATCGAACCAAACTCACAAAAGCTACTACTTGAGAAGTCTAAGAAAGGTGACTACACTGGAGTAGGACCCTTAATTAAATTTAAAATAGTTGTTTCATAAATCAGTGGTAGGTTAAATTACATATGAACACTAACAAATAAATTAATATAACTGAAAAGGACCTGATATATCCCTCTACTTTGTTTTATTGTTCAATCATGTCCCCCGTTATACTTTCCGTTCAGATTTACTCCTACCGTCCATCAAAGTTCTATATTTGTCACTATTTTAACGGTTGGGACACGTGGCACATTCTGAATGGAAGAACCAACTCAAAAACAAAAAAACTCCAAAACAAGCTAGAACCCATGATCCGCATGCTCGTTTTTCCTCTTTTAATTTTTTCCCAAACTTCTCTTAAATAAAAACTTTTAATCCGGGGCAAAGGAAAGGGTCGGGTTGGTTTAATTTATGAGTTGGTTAGGTCTTTCATTCAGAATGTGCCACGTGTCCTAACCGTTAAAGTATGGGCAAATATAGAACTTTGACGGACGGTAGGGGTAATTCTGGACGGAAAGTATAACGGGGGACATGATTGAACAATAAAATAAAGTAAAGGGATATATCAGACCCATTTCCGTTAATAGAAATATTAAAAAAAAAATAGAATGAAAAAAAAATCAATTGAAAATATAAAAGAAAAAAGGAAACAAAAAAAGAACGGCTGATAAATGACAATTCATAAATGTTGCTTTCAGGTGCAGTTGTAACATGATAGGAGGAGAGGCAGGCAGGTAGCTTATATAAAAGTCTTCTTCTTTTTCTCCTAGCTTTTTTAAAAAAAAAAAAAAAGTGTTAACAACAATTAAGCCCTTAAATGCATCGTGTATTATCACATGATATGCGAAGATTAGTCTGTATTTTGATGGTGATAAATGGATTAGGCAATCCAAAACAAAAGGTATACGAGTAAGAATTTAAAGGACCAAAGGTCCAAACGACAAAACTTGATAGAGGGGGAACCAAATTCATGGCCACAAGATATATGAGTTAATTTTATCCATAGTCATTGAATTTTCGTGTTTGTTACTCAAAAGTCATATTTTTTTGTTACGTAAAAATCATTCAACTTTATGTTCACTACATAAAAATTACTTTTCTTTTTTTTGTTACACAAAATCAGTTTACTTTGCTTTAGTTATCACAAAAGTCACATTTTTACTTGAAAAGTCTATTGTGCCCTTGATATTATATAAACCTTCATATTTATGTGATACCTTCTATATTATATACTATATAATATATTTTTAACTATGTATTTTATTTATAAATAAAATAACTTAATATTATTTTATTTATTATTTTTAAAATATATTCGTATATTTAATTTTTTTCTTAACATTAATTTTCAAAATATATTAGTAGCGTTATTAAATTTGTCAGTAACTTTTATATATATTAGTAGAGAAATAAATTGGCAAATACATTTTTGTGAGAAAATCTGCAGGTAAACAAACAAGAAAATGAGAAAAAAATCATATGTTACTCTCAAGGAAAATCCCTAGTTACTACATGCGAATTTAGCTGGGGATATTTTCTTGGGTATTTACCATGGCAATGGTTATTTAGGAAATTTTATTACTAGAAATTTGGGAAAATCCGTCCAAAAAAATAATCAAAGTTGGTCGGTAATGACCAATAACTGTCCAAAACGCGTCCATTAACGTGTGGTTGGTATTTTGAAGGTCGGAAGGGAATATCGACCAAAGTTGGTCGGTAATTACAGACCAACTTTGGTCGGTCAATTAAATTCAAAAAATAATTGCTGGAAAAAAAAGGTTGTTTTGATAACGCTACTAATATATCTTGAAAATTAACGTTAAGAAAAAATTACATATACGAATATATTATAAAACTAATAAATAAAATAATATTAAATTATTTTATCTATAAATAAAATATATAGTAAAAAAATATATTATATAGTATATAATATAGAAGGTAATGCATAAATATGAATGTTTATATAATATTAAGGGCATAATAGACTTTTAAGTAAAAATGTGACTTTTGTGATAACTACAGTAATGTAAAATGATTTTTGTGTAACAAAAGAAAGAAAAGTGATTTTTGTGTAATGAACACAAAATTGAATGATTTTTACGTAACCAAAAAAAGAAAAGTGATTTTTGGATAACAAACACAAAAGTTCAATGACCATGGATAAAATTATCTCGAAGATATACATATTGGTGATTTACTCGGCTTCTGTTTGTAATTTCTTACTGTGACACGTTTCGTTAGCCAAGTTGACGGACTTCCTCTAGTTAGGTCATATATATAGATATTTTTATATTTCAACAAAAATTAAAGAAATCGCATAATCGTAAAATTCTAAACGGACGTTTTAATTCCCAAAACATTATTAGCCTAATCCTTAATTATCAATATTAAATTAATATAGCCTTCTTGATAATGATATTACTGCAGTAAAAATAATCTGATAATTATGACAAGTAATGCAACAACAAATTTATGAGATGAAATAAGGAATTGTTATTTTATTTATTCAAACACGTTTTTCTGGCAATTTGTCTAAGTGCATTACATATTTTTGTAGAAATTTTAATTTCATTGGACACGCAACACAGAGTACTTCCTCTATTTCAATTTATGTGTCTACATTACTACTTGGGAGTCTACCAGGTTCATCTTTGACCATGAGTTTCTTAAATGTTTTATAAGTATTTCAAAATATAATTTGTTATGATTTTGTCGTACTTTGTATGTAATTTCTAAATATATAAATTTTATTTCATAATTTTTTTTAAAAATCCATGTCCAATTGGTCAAATAAGAACTTTGACCCTTTACTCTGGATCAAGCCACAGAGTGAGAAAATGATTTCTTCAAGAGAGTATCAAGTTAAAGCTGAACTATCAAAGGGGACAGGGGGAGTAAATTATATACGCAAAACCTGGCGCTCCCTCCAATTCAATTTTATATGTAGTAGTTTGATTCGGTACAAAATTTAAGGAAAAAAAAAACTTTGAAACTCATACTTAAAAGCTTTTGTGGGTCCTTTAATTTGTGTGATTATAAAATCTTCTCGTTAAATTGAGTAAATAAAAAATTTATTTTCAAATTTAAAAAAAAAAGAGTTCCAAAGGCATCTTCCATTCATATCGATTTGGACTTTTCCGCACCATATTTTGATTTGCCTCTTCTTCGATCCGGAAATATTTAGTTTTTTTGGGAACAAACTAATAAGAAAAATGTGTTGCATATAGAAGATGTCTTCTATGCTTGTATTAGGTTTTTACTTATAGAAGAATGTCAAGCATTACTAATATATACTCAATTCGTTTCAACTTAGACGAAGTAATTTGACTCGGCACAAAATTTAAGGAAAAAAGAAGACTCTTGAAACTTCTGATCTTAAAAGCTTAATGGGTAATAACTTTGTGGGACCATGACATTTGTGTAATTATAAAAACTTATCATTAAGAATAAAATAAATAAAATTAAGATTTTAAAATTAAATTATTTTTAAATTTAAAAGTATGTCATGGAACATATTAAAAATACAACATCTGAAGGAGGGAGTAGTATTTATATAACTGGAACTTTGAAGATGAAATAATTAATATGAGTAGCACCAGTAGTCTTATAGAGTCAAACTATTGGTGAATGTTCTCCCTAAACCCAATGAATCTCCTCGAATGCCCATAGGTCCCTCGCACACCTAATACGCAAAATCCTCGGCGGGGATTACGCTTTTCTCACACGAAAATGATTTTCTCTGACACTCAAAAATAACAAGTCGCCATTGTTTTTTTCTGCAAAGCTACTGAAACATAACTTTTACGTTTCCCTTCCAATTTACAGTCTCTTTCAAAAACTAAAGAGAGAGAGAGAGCGTACCGGTCATCGGGATAAATAACGGAACCTTGAGAGAGGCCTTTGATGCCATTGATGACGTTTTCTCTGCTAAACCTCGAGTGAGTACTGGAGTCCAGTCCAAGCTCCTTCTCCATTAACGCATATCTTCTACTACTTCTCGACGATTTCGTCAAATCCTCCATTTTATACTCTGCGCCTGAATCTCTTCTACTAATATTCCTCTCTTCCTCTACTTCTCTCCTCATCATCGACATCTTCAACCGCACTACAAAATTCACAGATCTCACGCTGTTCGTTACACTTCTCTTCTCACACTAAACTCACCTAAGTGATTTTTCTCTGTTTATATGCAGGAAGTGGAATCGATTTTCCTCGTAATATATCAAATGAGTTGATCACTGATGTCGATCATCGTCCTTGTATTGAACATCTAGAAAGTTCTTTGGAGTAAAGAGAAATATCCTGAGAACTGAAAATTGCCTAATCTATGGCTATAGATAGACGAGCCTGAGATCCAGACAGAGATTTTAGCAGAGGGTGAACTTTTTGGAGAAAAGGGGAAGGAGGAGGGAAGAGATATTTATATGAAACTCAAACTCTGCCGCAGTTATTAATTTCTCTATCTATACGTTTTTAAATAATCTAAACTAGTAAAATTAAAAATAGTTGGCGTTACGTGTATACCATACAGTTGTACTGAATGTGATGTAATAAGAGTACAGTTGTTCCCACAGAAAAATAAATTAATACTTTCTCCATCATATTTTATGTGGCATGTTTGCTTGAGCACGAAAATGTATGTGATAGAGTGGTAAATACTATTTTATCTTTAATCATAGGTTTGAGTTTGAGTTTTCAAAGTTGTCTTTGTTAGAAAGCGCTTTATCCTTCATTTTTGGGACTTTTCAGCGCGAATCCAGATTTAATCGAACCCCAATACGGATATCAAACATCGGATGAAAACCAAAAAACATGCCCAATTTGCCTCTGTAATGAGTTTTTCAACATGTGAGTCTTGTTACGAGTGAAAATGATCAATCTTTTGCTCGTAAACTTTTGCTAAATAATTCAGATTTGACCAGCATGTTTCTCAGTTACCATTCTTCATCTCTTTAAATCAATTATCACCGTAACAATTGATTTTCTCTAATCTCAAAAACACCACTTGAAGATTGCCATTAGTCTACCATCACTTCTCACTCTCACGACATGAAAAAAAAAAAAAAGGAATACATAAAATATCATACAAAAACTACTACATTCAAATGATCTACACATTTACAGGTGGAATCAGGATTTGAAGTTTATGGGTTCGGAATTGTTGTTTGTTTAAGTTATTGGGTGCTAAATTGATAATTTGTACATATATTTTTAAGACAAATATAAAATTTAGACCAAAGCTATTGAGTTTGGTCGAACCTGTATCCTATATGCTAGCTCAACCCTTTTCCTTTATCACTTTAATTTTTATCACTTTTCCTAGTCAACTTTAATTTTATTTTCGCTTAAAAACCATCTGCGCTTAACCACTATAACCTCACAATGATCGTCACAAATATGGCTGCAAATGATTTATAAGCTGAACTTTGACACATGGAATTATACCCTTTTAAATTCCTTTATATAGATTATCTTCGTGGGGTACAACAAACACAATCACATGCGCTGCGGCTATCTGAATCGCAAACCAAACGTTTGATGAATTTTGTGATGAACAAAGAATTGGTCAAATAACATGGTTAATGGCTAAATTATACTAGTTGTAGGAATGTCCCATGACCTAAAACCTAATAAATAAAACTAGGCTGTGTCATGACAACCATGTTCCAGATTATTTTTCAAGAATTGGGTTTCAAGAAGTCAATTTCAAGAGATGTTTCTTTCTCCTTTATTCAAATTTTGGCCTGTCTTAATTTGCGGCAAACATTGTTTATACCTAAAGTCAATATCTAAATCCATTCTTGATATGCACAGCAAACACTATGATACGTGTACACCTTGATACACATACTTATCAACCACACTATAAGATGGCTATTACATTTTCCGATACTTTAATTATGAGATTGACAGGAACTTTAACACCAAAGTATTATATGATTTTGAGCGTAGCTTTTCTATCAGACAAGATAGGGATAAGGTATGTGTAGACATTATTTTTCTCGGGCTCCACTTATAAAATTACACTAAATGCATTCTATTATTGTTATTGTTGCTCACAAAACAATCCAGGAAAAGAAGATCAAACTTATTGCAACAGTTTGATTGTTGGCTTGGTCATGAAACAAATACTAACTAATTATATTTTCTAAAAATATATTATAGCACCAAGATTAAGAAGATTGAGGAAGAGCAAAATGATATGACCATCATTTTATAGCGAGTTGAGGGAAAAATTGCCTTAGGTTATATTAACAACTAGTATTAGTACCCGCACGATGTGCGGATAATTATGATCCTCCTAAATTCTATAAATTAAAAAGAACAAATTATATGAATAACTATTGACATAAACTTAAATATTATAACTCCATATGTAGTCGGTGATACAGACAAATAAAAATACAATATGATTCAAAAATAAATACTTCTTCTCTTTCAATTTACATAAAATATTTTTCTTATTAGTCTGTTCCAAAAGAATGACACATTTATGTATTTGAAAATAATTTAACTTTAAACTTTTTATTTTACTCATTTTACATATTATGAGAAGTTTTTACACTCATACAAATATCATGGCCCCACAAAACTGTTAGAATCATAAGTTTCAAAAGTTTTCGTTTTCATTCTTAAATTCCATGTCGAGTCAAACTATGTCATCTATATTGAAACTGGGTGAAGTCATATTATATAGAGTAATAACAAATAAAAATACATTTAGTAATATCTTAATTTACAGGCAGAATGGCACCTATACTTGTGTCACTTTGTCATGTCGGTCCTCCTACTTCACTTTTTTTCATCCAGACACTTTAACATGTTCAAAATCAATATTTTAAACCCCTCTGACCGTGTGTGTATCTCACTTGCTTGACGTGGATGACACATCATATTTCACGTCATTTTTATATTTTATCTACTAAAAATATTTATTATATATTATTTTCTTAAAGAAAAAGAAAAAGAAAATCAATGCCTCCATCTCATCTCTTTCCCTAAAATAAATTCACATATTTCTTCTTCCTAGGAAATGTCAAAATTAAATGAAAATAGAACAAAATTAGTATTTGATAGCAGCAATGGCCACTTTTAGTAAGGGATTTTCTAAAGCTTGTTGTTGACAAAAACATATGGCTGGAGTGCCGTAAAAATGACCCAAAAAATATCCACCGTTTCTCATGGCTAAAGCACTACCGGAATTACCTCTCCCATGTTCAACACTGCAGAATCGCCACCCCGCTAATCGTCTTGAGGTCATGAAGCCAACTCTTGAAGAACCTATGAGTGAATCACTAAGAGATGTTGAAGACCTTTCTCTTAAGTTTTCTATTGATGTGGACTTCAAAGCCAATGGGGAGCTTGATATGGCAAGAAAGCAGCAGAAACTTGTGGAGAAACTCTCCCGGAAAGCTAATTCAATTAGCAAGCCTATTGTTAGCGTACAGGGGGAGGCGAAAATGGGGGTGCTGTGTGTGTGTGGGGGGGGGAGACGGGAGTGGGGAAGAAGAAGAAGAAGAAGCGCACGGGAGCAAAGGGGGCGAAGAGGGAGGAACAGAATATCCCTTTTGCTTTTTTTTTTCTTTTTTCTTTTTTCTTTTTATTTTAATGATTTTTTTCTTTTTCTTTTAATTATTTTCGGTTCAAAATATTCATATTCATGCTCCTTATCCGCGTGAATTACACCCAGTTTGTCCAGCTCAACCATTATTTTGCTACATGTGCTTGGTCAACGGTCAGATGGGTTTAAAATATTGATTTTGAACAAGTTAAAGTGTCTCGATAAAAAAATAATGAAGTAGGAGGATCGACATGACAAAGTGGCACAAGTATAGGTGTCATTTAGGTCATTCTGCCTAATTTAAATTATAAAAATATATTATATTATTATCTCAACATTATAAATTCTCGCATCAACATCAACTTCTACCAACCGAAAATTATACAATGACAAATTAATATATACATGCATGATAATTTATTAACAACCAATATATTCTAACTTTTGGGAGTTACCAACTTATAAAATAGCTGGATCGCAATTTACTCACTAATTTTGCTAGTTAACTCAATTTTAATCACACAATTAAAGTCACTTTATTTTTAACAATTTAAATTATACCTTTGGGATATAGTTAAGATTAATATATTATAATTAAGTAAATATTAACCTACTTCAAAATATTTTTCTNTAAAAAAAATGTATGTATTGCTTCCAAACAGTTGAGATATAAAATAAATTATAAAGAATTGGATAATTAATTTTACTGTAAGACAACACAATTGACATTTGTTCAGATGATGTCTAAGTCGATTCATAGTTTAAAACATTATCCCCACATAAATGTATGTCATCATTTTCTTTATTCTTGTGTAATTTTATGGTTGATCAATTCCCTTCCAACATTATTGGAGTTGCTTTAAACATTGATAGAATCGAACTATATTTATGTGACCATTCTCTTTCTGAGAATCATTTTAAAAGTATTCGACTCCAAACCACATACATCACACGTCTTGATTCTCAAAACTGAAAATGCTAATTGAGCGGGAGATATAGATTTATTTTTAAATTAATTAAAAGTATTAATTTACCCACACTATCTTTATACCCCCTCCCCCATATTATTCCCTCTACTATGAAATTTTATATAATTATTTCATTTATATGGAAGTTTGACTTTAAATTTTCATTTAAATTAACTATATAATAATTTAAGTTATATTTAATTTTTTATTTTGTTTCTCGAAATTATGTCAATTGTTTATATTTTTTGGTTTTATCTATTATAACGGTTTTAAATACGTGTATCTTATTTATATAGTATGACTGAGATCATTAATATTTTAAAAGCTTTCTCTTCTCAAAGATCAAATAAGTCTTATCATTACGTAT